CAGAGCCAAGTCATCTGTAGAGAGGAGGGTCTCAGGGGCTGAGCAGGTTCGTGTGGTAGGAATGGGAAGGACTCCTGGGGAATCAGCACCTCAGCTCTGCCTGTTGAGATCTGAGGCTGTGTCCAGGGAGAGACACTGGGCACAGGGACAGGGTACAGAGGGCCCTGGGGACTGCTCAGATGTAGAAGGTGAAGAGGAATCCACCCCATCCAAGTCAGGGAGTCTCCTCTGAGCTCAGCAGTGACCCATGCATTGGGCAATCTGGGTCGTGTAACTGTGACCTTCAGGGACATTGCATGGGCTGAACCTGAGTCCCTAGTTCCTGGACCTCTTATTTCCAGGAATGTAGTGGCCTGATTCACGTGAAACTATATGAGAACTTCACGGTTTCAGCTTTCAGGAAAGTGTTGGAGCAGTAGCTCGGGTGTGTGGAGACTGCAGAGGTCATCCTGGAACCCAGATCAGGGTCCCGTCACCATGGAGCCTGGAGAGCCCCATGTGGGGAGCCCTGAGCCTCTGCCCTGGGTGCTGGAGTGTGGAGAGGAGGCTGGTCCCAATGAGAACAGGCAGGGCCAAGTGGAAGGTGATGGGAGGGTGCTGCCCCCAGCCTGCGCAGGCAGCTGAACTTAAGGTCACTTGTGTGAATTTCCAGGAACTTCAAATAAAACGCAGACACACACTTTACCTTAAAACAAGCTTCTGGACAGCTTCTCTGCTCTCAGCTTCAGGCTTCCCAAAAGGGAGAGCAAGAGAAAGTCACAAGAGGCTGGCGACAGAGAGGGAGCACTTTCGGAAGTGGGCTTTTATCTTGTTCTTTAGAAAGTTCTACCCAAAAAGGGCCAGAAGGGCCAGTGTTACTAGGGACAGGTGAATGTAACTCAACCTCAGGGATGACACCTACATCTGAAGACACGCCTTCTACTTTCTGAGTTGGGACAACACTCAAGTCACCACAAAATGTAGTGATTGGACAGAGCCTCTTGCTTCAGGACTGGAAGGCATGGTGGGTCATTCAGAGTGGCTCCCCACATATTCCCCCTTCTTTCTTTGAAAAAGCAGGTGATGGGTCATTGTTTCGAGTCCTACAATTACAATACAAGAGAGAATTAGTAGCAAAGAGAACAATACAAGGATACACCACGCAGAATGTTTAAGGATGTTTTCAGGGTTAAAGCCATTCAATTCCTTAATTATTTGATCAGCTAAAGAAGTAGGATCCAAAAAATCAATTTTACTTTTTTGTATATCTTGAATATGATGATGCCATGCCAAAAGATCAAAGCTGTTATTATTATTTTGCCAAATACCTAACAAATGGTTTTTAACCTTCTCCCAACCCACTGGGAGGCATTGTATTTGGCAGCAGTAACCCACATATACTTATAGTTAGCGTGACATTTAAGTCTTTCCTTGAATTTCAAAGCTGAAAGTTCATTACCAATATTTATGACAGTAGCCTCTAAGGCATTTAGCTTAGTCTCAATCCTTTCATCAATATTTATTGGATTATAAAGAACCTTGGAAGTATTCTGAGCCAAATTATTAAGAAAATTTCCATGTTGAATATTTTTTATATATGGCCACCAAAGCTGTGACAGTTGAAGCAATAAAGGAAACTAAAGCAACAGCTCCCACTATTACAAGTCCCAGAGCACGTTTAAGTCTCACTAGCTGGGCATGTATTTGTTGTAAGACTTGAAAACCAGCATCAGCATACCTCGGCTCTGAAATATTAGCTGGCAATAAGACAAAAGAGGGTTGATGTGATATCAGCATTCATTTCCCTCTATTATATCTGGAGATATAGTTAGTTAAGTTACATTTATGACATGTTACAAGATATCTATCATCTTTCCTTTCAACTTTTACATTTCCAGTAATTAAAACATAAGGAGATTGAACACAGGCCCATAAGCCATAACAAGAACCCTCCTTACAGTTTTTGCCTACAAATCCTGTAAAGGTTTGTCAGTAAAATGTAAGAATTCTGATACGGCAATTAAGCGCCAAAAATCTTTCTGAATGCCACCTTCAATGAAGGTCAACACGTTACTAACAAATCCTCCAGGAGTCATGGCAATACCCTTGTGCAATTAATTTTTGTCAACTCCAGACGACCAGTCCAAAATATACCCAATATTTCCAAACACCTTATGTTGTACTGGAAAAGTATTTATACAATCCATCCACTTAGGAAAGGTGCCAATTTCTTTTGCAGAATGGTTAGGACAATGAGGTATTTGTGGGCGTTCTGCTGAGATGACTGGTTTGTTATGAGAAAGTCGCATTTTTAACAACTGATCTAAGGTTTTGAGTCTCCAGAAACAGTATGATTAGTTGATCTAGGTCTCTCAGCTGCTGTCTTTTCCTCAAATGACACTTTTAGATAACCAGCATGTTTAATGTGGGACCAACACAAAGGTCATTGAGCACTATAGCCAGAAAAAATTAAATCCAGTCACATGGTTGGGAGTAATATGGGTGTCTGTAAATCCTCCATCATATATGAGTCATTAGCAAATATGGGGATGGATTCTCCAGTCCACACTGCTGGGTGTACTAAAGGTCAATCTGGAAAATATGTCCAATAAGTTTCTCCCTGATTCCCATTTACATTTCAGCTCAATAGAGCTAATATTTCAGCAAGCATCATTGTTGGAGATTTAAGTTTTCCTTGTTGTCGAATCATTCGTTCATCTTGCAGTGTCAAATTCTTCACGTCCTTCCATGAGGGTAGCTTCATCATTGGGTCTCTCTAGACCATCTTTTTTCTTCTCTTCCTTTAAGAGTTCCTCTTGTTGGGGGAAGTCAGGTCTGGCATCTCTGGGTCAATCTTCAGTCATTTGATTCTTGGTTCTAGGTCCTCCATGCCTACAGGTAGGATGGAAAGCACCTTCTGGGAAAATACAAGCATGACCTCTACCCACATAATCACTGGATCTGGTCCTTTACATTGACCTGTCTGCAAATCCTTCCCTCAAACTCGGCCTAAAGGGCCTGTTGCTGTGGAAGACACCTGTCACTCAGCTGCAGTGCGACCTTCTGAGTCACAATTTAGAAAATTTTAAATGAACAGAGCATGATTGAGGTTATTTTGGGGAGTCCTAGTTCTATCTCCCCCTTTTAGTTTTTGTAATTGTAGCTTAATAGATAAATGAGCTCATTCTACAATGTGAAAAGGAATTAATGACTTTTGAGGAAAGTGGGATAAATGAATCCAATCAATAACTCCCAATGTTTGCCATATCACCCCTGTAGGAGCATAAGCAGTTGAAAATATCAATAAATATGTAGGTTTGTGGAGTAATTCTAGTAAGTTGAGTTTTAATAGCAATTTCAACTTTCCTCAAAGCCATTCTCACTTCTGCTGTGAGCTGTCTAGAAGTTGGAAAAGAATCTCCCTGTAATATCTGGAATAAAGGACTCAAATCTGAAGTAGTTAGCTTTAAATACGGCCTCAGCCAATTAATATCTTCTAATAGTTTTCAAAAATCATTAAGGGTGTGCAGCTGTTTGACTCTGATTTGTAAGTTTTGAGGACAGATTGTATGTCCTTCAATCATATGACCTAGATATTGAAAAGGAGATGTCTTTTGCTCCTTTTGAGGTACAATACAAAAACCCATTGCCGTGAGTAAAGTCTCTAATTGGGCAAAAAAATTTTAGAGGCTCCACCTCTGCCCCCTTACTCATGGTCTGGGGTCCTAGTAGAAGCCTCCCTCAGCCCATATGGAGCCTTGACTGGTAAGAACTAGGAAGCCACATCAGCCTTGTGGTCGACCCGGCAGTAGATGTCCACGTCAGGGTTTAGTAGTTCCTGAAAAAGAACAAAGAGGCTCTGACCTTGTGTACTTACGAGAACAGGGACTAGGGACTCCTAGGCCCTGGCCCCCCTGGGACTGCTCTGTGCCTGCTCCTGGCTGGGCTCAGTGGCTCCTGTTCCCAGGCCCCTCCCTCCCCTGCTCACCACCCTGATCCTGTTTTGGCTGCTGTTTTTGGAAAGCTCAGGAAGGTGTGAGGAGGGGCAGTTCCTGGGTCCCCACTGGACTGTGGGCCAGGATGTTCATCACCCACACTCACCTGGTAGATGGGAACCGCAGCTCTGTGGCCAGGGAGAGGAACCTGGACAGAGGAGGGAGAGTGGACATCAGGCTCAGCGAGGGAGGGTCATCAAGGCTGAGACTCCAGGGAGCAGGTGCTGGGTGGTGCCTGGAAGGTTCTGGTCTCTGACAGGCCAGAGCTTACTCCCTGTGTCTGCTTTAGACCTTTCTTCCCAGGAGGTACCAGCTCTGGGTCCTGGGCACCAGCCTCCACTTCTGCACAGTCACCTCAGTGGCTGTCCTGACTGTGTTTTACGTCACTAACCCTGGACCACTGATTAGAAACTTCCAGGACCCACTCTGTACCTGCTGGCCTCCAGGATTCCCCAGAGACAGATGGAGGGAAGCAGGGTGGGCTGAGGACAAAGTGATGGTTATCCTGTCCCTGAGAGTGGCCAAGCGTCTGGCAAGGGCCAGGCTAACCTTGTGCTAGTCCAACATGAGAGGGGGTGACTGTGGTGTGTTGGGGTTGACAGCGACCCTGCTCTGGGCCTGCTCAGCTGGGTCCCCTGTGTGGAGGGAGATGGGGGGACTTACCAGGGAGGTGGAGCTGTCAGAGGGACCTTGGCCTGGGGACAGAGACAAGAGTTAGCAGGAGGGTTTGAAGAGGGCTGGGCCCCTGCTGCAGGAGGGGCTGGGAGTCCTCAGCTTATAGAGAGTCAGGGCAGTCAGCATGTCCTGGGAGAGACCTTGTAGCCTTTTTAGTGGCCCAGGGAGCCAAGGAGTCTGAGAGGTGAATAGATGCCACAGGTGTGGGCTGACCTGGCCAGTTGGGTCCCCTCTCCTGAGTATTTGATGACAGGGCTCCTTGAAGCCCCAGGGAAAGGTCTCCGATCCTGGAAAGGTTATTGACTGCAAGAGTGGACACTGTGGGGCAGGCCCAGGGGCTCCCAGCCACCCTCAGGCTGAAGGGGCACTCACCAGGTCTTGATGCTGGGGTTCTGGGGTCTCTGAGGCCTTGCTGGACACCAGCCCTAGGGAAGGTCAGGCTTATTCGTGAGGGTGCAGGGAGAGGTCATGGACTGGGGTCAGATAGGGGATGAGGAGGGTACCCCATTTCCAAGGAGGGTGTGAAAGCTTCCTCTCCCCATCAGGTCTGTGTACCAGGGGGCCCAGGAGAGTGGAGCTGAGGAAAGGACTTGAGAAGCCATCTCTGCCCAGGGTAAGAGGTGAATGTCCCTCTGAGACACAGACCCAGGAGAACATGGACTAAGGGACCCAGAGAAGGGACTAAGGAATCAAGACCAATTAAAACAGGAGAGTTTGACTGCGTGGAAGGGTCTGTGCCCTGGGCAGGAAGCTGGGTCATCACACAGGCAGGACACTGTGGGAGCCACTTCCATCTTGACAGTCCCTGACCTTGGTGACCCTGCTGTAGCCAGGCCTTGTGCTCAGGCCAGGAGGTGCTAAAATGTGACAGTGGCCTTGTCCAGGAAACAAAGGATATTCTAGGACACACTATCGTGGCTGGGCCCCAGAACTCCCACCTCCATATCAGGGGCCACGAGTAACCAAGAAGATGTAGGGAGCTGACCCCACCAGCCTGTCCAGGACCCTCCATTTGCACTGGGTGACCTGGGACAGGACCACCCCTCAGATTCAGAGCATTGCCCCTCAATTGGTGCAGGAGGCACCATTTTTGAACACTAATCTGTCACAGGATGTGTTCTGTGTGAGGGAAGGAGGACAGTGCTGTGGGGACAGGTCCCAAGTGATCAACGTACAGAGGAGGGAGCTGTTGAGGCAGCAGCCCAGGGCCAGCAGAGGGTGAGGGGGGAGCCTGGGAAATGAGAGGGGAGGGTCCTTGGGAAGTGGGGAGGTGGAGTCAGGCCCAGAGTCTGAGGATGGGTCTCCTTCTCTCAGGCCTGGGGTCACCTGGGTGGGATCAGGTGGGAGAAGCCTGGATACCTTCCAGTTCTTCTGTGAACCAGGAAACACCTCAGAGCAGCAACCAAGGCCACCCCAACCAGGACCCCTGTCACGAAGCTAGCAATGGCCCCCACTAGGAGGCCTGGGGTCCGCTCTTCTGCTGAAAGGAGAAGAGAAAGGGGATGAAGGTCAGGTCTTTAGGGGAACCACCCTGGGCCTTGCAGAGGGCCCACCTAGAATGGAAGGGAATAGCCCCAAGGTCCAAGTTCAGTTTGTCATGTCATCGACACCATGTCCCCCCAACCGCAACTCTCTGCTTCTGGAGATTTCTTCATGTTTACTTTTAGAACCCTGCATGTGCTCTCGCCTGACCCTCTGCACACGCAGCTGGGCCACATCCTGCTCCTGCTCCTGTTACAGCCTCTTCCTCTTTTCTTCCTTCCCATCTCAGGACAGTGTCAGCGGGCAGCCCTCACAGACTGTCTAGCCCAAAGCCTAGCCTGGGGTACAAATTAGAACCAAGGTGACATCAAGGCACCTAATTTCTGGGTAGTTAAGCACATTCCCTCCAAGCTCTGGCTTGTGCCATATGATGGTTGGTCCTTGACAGTGAAATATGTGAGGGAAGCACTGGGTGGGACGGGGGCCACTCACAGATCACAGCCAGCCTGTAGTGGTCACTCCTGTTGGAACTGGCGGAGTTGGAGGCTTCACACTGATACTCCCCAGCATCCTCCTGTCTGACGGGGTCTATGCTGAGGGTCCTGTGGTCCGGGGACAGCTGCATCCTGTCTGTGAGCTGCAGAGTCTGGCTATTGAAGATCCACGTGATGGAGATTCCAGGGTCACCTGAGAGGCAGGTCATGACCACAGAGTGTGGTTCTGTGTTGGTGGCTCTGAGGGAGGACTGGGCCACAAGCCCTGTGGAAAAACAGCAAGGGACTGACTGAGAGCGGGCCTGAGGCCTGTCCTCAGAGACGTCTGTCAGTTCTCGGGTGGTCCAGAGGATGAGGTAGATTGTTGAGGCCATGGACAGTGGTTGAGAACTCAGCAAGAAGATGACCATGTAGGGAAGACCCAGAAATAAGATGACCTTCTTATGATCTTGGTTCTGATATGGTTCAAGTCTATTCTAGGGGAAACTTCAAAATGTAGCAAATACGTTGACCTTGGACTACACAGCCGACCTCCTGAACCGCAGCTTCTTCATCTTACAATTAAAATAAGAAATTGCTGAACCTCCCTCTGACTCTAGATGATATCAGCGGACCCCTGGTTTGTCCCCTTGACATCTCACTGGAATCCAGATGGGAAACTCCTCTCAGGCCCCAGGTCCAGCCACCTCATTATCAAGCGGATTTTCCCGTGGACTCTTGTGTCTTATTTTCCAGAACTTCTGTGCTGGTCTTGGTGCATCTTGTGCTGCTCTAACAGAGCACCTGAGACTGGGTGGTGTGTGAAGAAGAGAGATCTCCTGCTCACTGTTCTGGAGCTGGGGAAGTTCAAGATCTAGGGGCTCCATGTGAAGAGGGCTGCTTGCTTCATTTTAACTCAAGAAGACCGTTCCATGGTGAGAGAGCACGTGGGACAGGAAGAGGGGGAGGGGGCCAGACTCACCCTTTATCAGGAAGTCTCATCTGCTGGAGCTGGTCCCATTCTGTGACAGCAGCATCATTCCTTTCACAGGGACCCACCTCCTTCATTGAGACTACACCTCAGATCCCCTTACATGAGGGTTCAGTTCCCAGCACCTGCTTTTCCCGGTGAACAGTTACACCACAGTTGGGATGCCTTAAAAGTGTGTGTGTGTGTGTGTGT